CCTTGATAAGGTGGTCATTGCGCATAGTTAGGATTTGGCATTTGAGATTCCCCAGCAGATGAAGGGTTGGATACTCTGGTCTGTCTGAGCATCTTTACCACCTCCATCTAAAAAGCTTTGCCTTGTTTGCCTCAAACTGCTAGTGAGTCCTTGATAGAAGCCACTTTGCTGCGAACCAAGTCTATATCTTCTTCCTGTCTCTGGGAAGCTTGGTGATACTCCTGTTTAACTAGGTGTTGCCTATTGTACCCAGATTGCTCTTGAGTGTAAGCCTTGTAATGGTTTTTCTTGGTCATTTCCACTGTGGTGTTAAGAAGTTCTTCCCAACCCCAGCAATCATTTAAGTGGCATTTGACCTTAGCCACTCCAGGAGTATTCTCCTCTATAGCATCCGTTTTCTGTTCTAGCGCTTTCTGGAATCCTTGATCCAAACGGCTCATGATTCCTTGACAAACATGTTGATTAGAAATGGGATTGTCAACCGACTGTTCTTTTGAGTACTTGAACATATAGGTCAGTTCAGGATGAAGTTGTCTATCAAACTGCTTCATAGCATTATAGTCGGCAAGTTTTATAAGTGGCCCTTGATTAAACAATCTTTCGATTGCTGTCTGGGACCCCATAGTTTCTTTCACTAATTCCAATGCATACTCTTCTTTGATTCGTTGAACCAAAGCTTTATAGTCTGGTGTGGTATAACATTCCCACAAATGCCAAAGATGTTTAGTCTTCTGATCTGCATACAAAGGCAAAGCTTCGCATCTTTTTGCCTCATCGGTAATGCCTTTGTCATCCAAAAGATTGGTGACCAAGTTAATGAATGGATTCAGATTGTCTATATCTCCATCCCTGTACCTGGGAGCCTTGGGCTCATTGTACCTGGGCATCATCTTTGAAGACATGTTTATTCTAGTTCCTTGTGTTTGGGAACAAATTTTTCAGTCCTATACTAATGTATTACTGGACCTTATATTAATCAAGTTTTCTGTTAACACTTAAAAAAAAATTTTAACTTATTTAGTTCTGATATTTTTATATGAGCAATTCTACTGATCAGGAAAGTTGGTAAAGAGTATGCTAAGTAAGTTTAAGCTAACTTTATAGAACTGTTGGTGTTTATTTAACTTAACTCGTCAATTTTTTTTATGTGTGTATCCGAATTTTATTTGTATTTTTTATTTGTTAACACAACTGTTAGCACAGTCCCCCACCGACCCCTTAAATATTATATATATATTAATTTTTAGTAGGGGTTAAACTTAAGTTGTCCCGTTACTATTTGTATAGGTAATATAACATACAAAGATAGTTTTATGAAAGGAGGGAAATATTCTGTTGGCTGCTCGAGTTCAAATTGCCCAAGTTAGCTTCTGGTGTAGAAGCTCTAGGAGGTGGTAGCAGAACCTGAGAAGCGGAAGGCAAGTGGGATTGAGAAGACGTTTCAGGGACTGAGTTTTGAGCTATTAGCTTCTGTAAGCATTCAAGTTCAAGTTGCTCTGTCCTTTTTCAGATTCTATCTCTTTGTTCCTCAGCTTGCTTTCCTACAACTTTTCCTTTGGTTTCTGGGTCTAAACTCAAAAGCTTAGGCTTTTCAACTTGGGACTGAGTCTTTTTCTTAGGTTTTGCTTTGGATAGTCCTGGAACTGGGTTCTCAGGATCAATGCTTAATTCCTCTGGTTTGGAAAGTGGAGAACTGCCACCTGTTCCACTACTTTGCAGAATAAAGCTTGGGTGTTCTAAAGAACCTTGTCTTAGGAACTGTTCTGAAGCTATGTTGTCTTACTAACTGAATTTATCTGATACACCCTCGCGGCAGGCTCCAGATGTGGGAGATCCTTGCGAATGGTGTGGAAAACAAGTCAGAAATGCTGTGTCTGAATGAACAAACACACACAACACTACTAACACCTCAATACATGCTTTATATCCTCTTAAGTAGTTCAGGTGTTGAATAACTTCAGTTCTCGGAACAACTCACTTTGTTGCGAAGTTGTCTTGGACTTGTCTCTTTTTGAAAGAGCGGGTTTTGTTTCTAGAAGTTTAAGTGCTGTTAACACTAAGGGTGGTCTCTTAACACTAGAGTTCGAAACTAGAGGTTCCGTGTTCAACTAGAGATTTTTGCCAGACTAGAAGCACTTGTAATGCCAATTCTTTCAAGACTGGACTTTGTTCTGATTTCTGGTTTCTTAAGCTCAAACTAGAGTTCTAGACTGAGAGACAATTATATTCGTTCCTGCGTCCACTTCCAGCAAACAGGATTGCTCCTGCACTAGACCTAGACTGGGGTACAATGCTCTACTATTTTACTACAAACTGCAGGCCTTATATACTTTACAAAACAGATGATAAATAAGACATGAGTCAATGTCAAAGCTCTGCCAAGGCATTTCACCAAGGCGTATCAATCAGGATTAGGTGTACAAAAATAGAACTTGTCAACCTGAGACCCCCTACGTGGAGTCCAAGCCGATCTGGTATAGATGAAGAATCCTACTTGGTCAGAACATTCTGTCCTCATAGTATCTTCTAACAGATGTGTGTCTTGTTGTCTTTGCGGTCGAAAACCGCCTTTGAGGAATGTCAACAGTCCTTCCTATAGGTTCCTCATTTTTTAGGGGTTGTCTTTGTCTGATCGTTTTGTTGCTCATTAACAACAGATAGGGTTCGGATAGAGTTCCAGTCATGTAATTTCCATGACACAGGTCCGGAGCACTGTGCTCCTTACATGCTCATGCTGAATGTACATCCTTTACTTTGTGCAACTCATTAAGTCTCCAATAGACATCTTGGTTCATAGTCCTTCATCACGTATTCAGCCTAGGCCATTATGTGGACAATGCTAGTTTGTTCTTCTGATGGACAGCATCATTGCCTTATTGGTCTCTTATACACTTTCGGGGCTGCTAAGTGCAAAGCGATATGACCCAGGTCCATGCATGTCAGTCTTATTGGCAACGTGAAGCTTCGTTCCAATGCTCCTACATTGTCCCAGCAGTCCAAGGAGATGTCAAACTGCCCTAGCTTGGTAGAAAACAAGGCTGAATTACGAGACCACATGAGTGGCTCGTTTGTTGGGAGTGAGCAAAAATCAGGAGAGCCGCTAATAGGGCACCTTACAGTGGGGTTGTCGATGCGTCTAAAGCTCTGATCAAGAGTTCTGAAGGAACTCTAACACAAAACCGAAAACACACACTAACTCTCTTTTGAATACCCTGATTTTGCGAGGTTTTGACTTAGAGAATAGCGGAAGGAAGAATAGAGTCTGTTTGATTCAATCGAACTGACTATCAAGTTTGTGTAAAGAAGCTAGGTCGAACACTTGGTTCTGCCTTTGCCACGAAATGGGGTTTGTGCAAGCACGGTTGTTCTGTTTTAATCCCAGAAGGATGTAAAGGTTTGTAACTAGAAAACTCGCAAGCTTCCTCGAATCTACTGCTTTGAATGAATAGACAATAAAGTCCACAAGTCTTCAACAAGTATACTCTCAATGTTCGCACTGGTTGGCTTCTTGCCCACTGGATTCTGTTGAGTTCAAAGTTCCTTTCTAATAGCTGCTGCCAAAGGCTTAAGCTGTTCGATTGGGGTACAATTTACTGGTCTACTAATGATACAAACGAGCTCTTTATATACTGTACAAGTTATGTTCGATCTCCACTTTAGAGTCCGATTCTGAGATGTATTAATAGTTATGACTCAAACTGGTCACGTTTTGTGGAGCTTTTGAGCTAATTATAGCTTTGCTTTGTCAGTTCAAGTCATCGGCATCTCGGATCGAGTACCTCCACAGTGGCTACGCGTCCTTTCGAGTCATCAGCATTCTGGATCGAGCACCTCCACAGTGGTGGTCTAGATCGTCTCGGGTCGATTCGTCCCTATACATTCCGTAGGTGTTTCCGGGTTGCTCCTTTGGAGTCTGGGTTCGTCCTGGGTGTGTTTAGGTCTTATATTCGAATAGATATTATCCTATAAGCCTTGCTGTTTATCTAGAGTGCATTCCTTTGCCTAGACCGAACTATCTTTGTAGATATATCATTTGTTCTGAGCTAAAGTTCATTCATGGTCATGTCCTGCTTTGTTCCTTTATGTGAACGATCGAGTTTCGTACCAAGTTCCCTTGAGCATTTGGAAACGTATCCTTGATATGTGTTATCGATCAGTGTCCTTGCAGTTGGCTTGCTAGCGCGCCTTCTACGTATTAGAACGAACGACTCTTCAAGTATTCGAGCAAGGCATCTCTAGTACCATTGATCAATCCTTCTTGAGTGTTGAGTTCGAGCTCCTAGTCAAGTATTCGAACGAAACACTATCAAGTGCTATCGTTCGATCGTACTTAAGTTGCCTTGGTATGATCGACTCCTGATGATATACATTTCTAGACCAGTCGGATCTCCTGTCTAAAGCTCTTATCCCTTGTGTGGTTCGATCGAAAGAGTGGCATATTCGCTAGAAAAGCCAAAAAGAGAGGGTGGAACGATCCCCACCCTATCACCGCATCAGAGAACCTAGTGGGGATATCCAGCTGGGCATGTGCACCAATGACGTGGAGCTCATTTCAGCAGCTGACTAGTGACTCCAGGTGGGCACTGTGAGGAGTGTACCACAGGTACACGATGAGCAGGGTTTAATGGCTGATCAGCTGGGTTCCCACAGCCACATAAAGTGACCACATAACACTGTTATGTGGTCAATCAATTTCTCTCATCTATTTACTGCTCCTAAATTCCTAAAAAAATATTCCAGACACCTCAAATACATGATTTAGATCTGTATCCATTTTCTCTGAATTTTTGAGAGACTTTCAATACACTTTTCATCCAAGTTGAGATAAAACATGATCAGGCCATCCGTCCGAGCACGTGCCATATCGGATCTTGCCTCCTATGTCATCAGCATGATAGTACAGTCATGCAATCCTTGTCATCTGTATACAGGTGCACTATACTCAAACTATATTGTCTTCTTCCATGCTAAACTTTTGAACGGTCATGTGTGAAAAGTATCGGGCAGTATTGGGATTGAACCAATGACCTCTGTGCAAATATAACAGGTGCTCTAACCACTGAGCTAACTAGCCATTGGTAGTGGTACAGCGATTATCCAGTACATGCAATCTTCAATGCAGTCCTTTGGGGCCCATTACTGCAAGGGTAATAACCATTGTACAGATAACATTGGGGATATCCACTAAGGTAGTTGTACTATTAGATGCTGTCTGATCAACTGTCCAACAAAAACATGCCTTTTTCACGTCAATTTTGCAGATGTCAGAACCAGACTGGCTGGCGCGGATTCCAGGACCAATCACGAAAGGTCATCTCATGGGAAAGAAGGATGGTCTGAGAGCTGCTCTAAACCTTCTATTCACAGAGCTACAGTAGCTGCCAAAAAAGCACGAAAGGCTCAGGAATTTCAGGGTATGGTCTCTAGCTCTCCTCATCTCTGTACTAACCATGGTGACCAGAGCATGCTGCCGCAGAGGCAGACAAGTTCTGAAAGGCTACAGCTGCACTGAGACAACTCAAGTATGCTGCAAAACGGTCTTAAACTCATAATATAGCATTACATCTACCATGTTCACATGTCTGATGATGCCTTACATAGAACCATTTTTCACACATCATCCTTGCTTTGTTGCCAACTTGGATAGTGAAGATGATGTTCAATCCCAGAATGAGGATGATCATCCACTGCTTTCTCAGATCAAGGAAAGCACAGGCATTGTCATTGATCTTCCGAGTACTACCAGTGTCCCACCTTCTCAGACTTACTATGATTCTGTGCCACTGATAAATGTGGCAATCAGAATATAGTTAGCAACTCTGAGAGTGCTGGTGATGATTCAAGACAAATTAAACGCTCCTGGACTGAGTGTCGACGGCTTGAACCAACCAAGCGGAAGCGTGTTACACTTTGAAAATTTTGATGTTGTAAATCATCTTCTTGCCGTGGGTCTGGGAACCTTGATCTTTGCACTGTAGAATGCACCAATCCATGTAAGCGGTGTGGAAAGGCCACAGGGTGCAAAGGTGTCGACAGAAAGCCATGGAACTGCTCTTGGAAGGACAAATCAACTTGAATTTGCTTTACCATCCTAGAAAATGTCACAATTATGTGACAGTTTGAATTTCATATCCTTTCCTTTTTCTCTTTCTTTTCTCCTTTTTTCGGGCTCTGATACCCAGTGCAACCACCAGAAAACACGAGCAGCATGCAATTTCTCACCCCTCCTCATTTTTGATTGATCAAGCAATTTGGTAAACAGAGCAAAAAGATTGGGGGCTCGTACTTGCTGCTTGTTGGCCTCTATTTCACTGGTTTTGTTATGCCTCATCACCGAGGTGCAATAGAATCTTGTTTTGAACAAACCCCTTTGGTATAAAAACCTATCGAAGCACTAGCCCTGCAAACCATTGAAGTCATAGCCTCTGACACCCAGTGAAGTTGTAGCCTGCACTTATCCCCTTAATATTCCTTGTGAATTAAAACCATGTACACAAACCATGCAAGGTTCACTGTGTCAAGTGAACCAAGTTAAGTTTCTGTTTACAAGAGACAAGTAGTGCACGATTGAAACCTTAAAGCTTCATTGAAAGGCTTTCTCTTCCTTGAACTGCCTGAATTACTTGGGGTGTTAAAAGAGAGTTAGTGTGTATTTGAGATTTTATCTACAGATCTTTATAGATCTGTTTTGAGGATTTCATTTACATCAACAGCCCCACTGAAAGGTGCCCTATTACTGAATCTGGGAACATGCATGCTGAAATTGAGACTCTATGAAGAACCTCAATAGGTTGTCTCTTGCCCTGTCAGAGAGGATGGTTATGAGCCTATGCCACTCTCACAAGTGCATATTGCATGCAGACTGAATGAAACAGGTCAACAGCCATTGTCATGCTGGTGAGAGAATTGGTCAGGTGACTATCACCTTTGGGGACTTTGATGGCAGTGGGCCAAAATGCTCTGTCCCAACAAACAAGCCGCTCAAATGGTCTCATAACAAGAGATGAGTACCTGCAATATGCAAACCCTGTGTGCTAGGATGTCTCTTGAGTGACAGAATATATCACCAACTCATCTGTATACTTCATGCTTTGGTTCAATCTCTAAATGCATGACATTACCAATACTGTTGGGACTCTTTTTGAATAGCTGAGCACAAGCACAACCAAAACCCTTTATCATCTGATAAACTGTTAATCTTGTCATTTTTGGATAAGATGGAAGATAAGACATCATCTAGAATTGAAGAAGTTGAAGAGGACTTGGGTTAGACCATGCCATGGGGGGAACACATGGTCACAGAATGGTCAGACTTATATTAAAACAGGGTGTTAACCTTAAGGAAAACAGGAGGTGCTTCATTCTGGGTGCATGTGGTAGAAGGCATCACTTGCATGCTAGAAAGGGCATGTGAAAAATGTGCATAAGGCATAGAAACAGACAAGACATCTTGTGGAATATAGACAGAACTCCTGTAGTTTATGCATGTTATTTAAGTAGTGTAGGAACTATGCTGTACTTTAGTCTTTTTATTCTATTTGCTTCATGAACCTTCTGTGTCAAACACTCCAAGACTTCATCTTACCAACATCATCTCTAGGGTCCTGGTAGCCCTCAGGAGATTGAGTCTAGACATAAAGTTTGTTGTGACAGTTCTAATATAAGTCACACAATCATTTCATGTTTCTATGACTCTGTATTTTCCACATGCCTTAATCTGAATCCTCTGCAACTTCTTCAATCCTTGATGTTGTCTTATCTTCCATCTTGTCCAAGAATGACAGGATTAATGGTTTATCAGATGATAGAGTATTCTTAGATGTGATTTGAGTATCAGGTTCTGACAACTTTCATTCCTCTGATTGCCTATCAACTAGCTTGGCTGAAGTAGCTCATAGCTACAGCTTACATTTAAGTATTTTGATCCAAGATGAGGGTGACAGGACAAAATTATTTAGATATAGAAAGTTAATAACAGAAAGAGCCTCAAACTAGGACTACGTTAATCAACTATGGAATGCTGTTGAAGAAGTTTGATGATCTCTGGGTAGTTCTGAGGATTCCAATAACAATATGGTCTTTGGGTTGGATCAATTGAAAGAACTAAAGTAAGTGCTCTCTGAATGGATATTGAGTCAGAGTAGTTCAGCAATAGTGAGACTATCCTAATGTGACCCTGTTCAGCTGCATAAGAAAGTGATGTGCACTGGTGTTTGTCAGAGGTATCAGGATCTGCATTTGTCTCCAGAAGAAGCCTGACAACATCAATGTAACCCCATCTAGCTGCATAAGACAGTGGTGTGTGCTGATCTTTGTCAGAGGCATCAGGATCTGCATTTTTCTCCAAAAGAAGCTTGACAATGTCAATGTGACCCCATCTAGCTGCATAACACAATGGTGTGCGCTGATCTTTGTCAGAGGCATCAGGATCTGCATTTTTCTCCAGAAGAAGCCTGACAATGTCAATGTGACTCCATTTAGCAGCCGCATAAGACAGTGGTGTGCGCTGATCTTTGTCAGAGGTATCAGGATCTGCATTTTTCTCCAGAAGAAGCTTGACGATGCCAGTGTGACCCCCTCTAGCTGCATAGGATAGTGGTGTGCACTGATCTTTGTCAGAGGTATCAGGATCTGCATTTTTCTCCAGAAGAAGTCTGACCATGTCAATGTGACCCCCTCTAGCTGCATAGGACAATGGTGTGTGCTGATCTTTGTCAGAGGCATCAGGATCTGCATTTTTCTCCAGAAGAAGCTTGACCATGTCAATGTGACCCCATATAGCAGCTGCATAGGACAATGGTGTGCGCTGATCTTTGTCAGAGGCATCAGGATCTGCATTTTTCTCCAGAAGAAGCTTGACAATGTCAATGTGACCCCATATAGCAGCTGCATAAGACAGTGGTGTGCGCTGATCTTTGTCAGAGGCATCAGGATCTGCATTTTTCTCCAGAAGAAGCTTGACCATGTCAATGCGACCCCATCTAGCTGCATAGAACAGTGGTGTGCGCTGATCTTTGTCAGAAGCATCAGGATCTGCATTTTTCTCCAGAAGAAGCCTGACAATATCAATGCGACCCCTTCTAGCTGCATGAGACAGTGGTGTGCACTGATCTTTGTCAGAGGCATCAGGATCTGCATTTTTCTCCAGAAGAAGCCTGACAATATCAATGCGACCCCTTCTAGCTGCATGAGACAGTGGTGTGTGCTGATCTTTGTCAGGGGCATCAGGATCTGCATTTTTCTCCAGAAGAAGCCTGACAATATCAATGTGACCCCTTCTAGCTGCATGAGACAGTGGTGTGTGCTGGTCTTTGTCAGGGGCATCAGGATCTGCATTTTTCTCCAGAAGAAGCCTGACAATATCAATGTGACCCCCTCTTGCTGCATGGGACAGTGGTGTGTGCTGATCTTTGTCAGAGGCATCAGGATCTGCATTTTTCTCCAGAAGAAGCCTGACAATGTCAATGTGACCCCCTCTTGCTGCATGGGACAGTGGTGTGTGCTGATCTTTGTCAGAGGCATCAGGATCTGCATTTTTCTCCAGAAGAAGCCTGACAATGTCAATGTGACCCCCTCTTGCTGCATGGGACAGTGGTGTGTGCTGATCTTTGTCAGAGGCATCAGGATCTGCATTTTTCTCCAGAAGAAGCCTGACAATGTCAATGTGACCCCCTCTTGCTGCATGGGACAGTGGTGTGTGCTGATCTTTGTCAGAGGCATCAGGATCTGCATTTTTCTTCAGAAGAAGCCTGACCATATCAATGTGACTCCATCTAGCAGCTGCATAAGACAGTGGTGTGCACTGATCTTTGTCAGAGGCATCAGGATCTGCATTTTTCTCCAGAAGAAGTTTGACAATGACAATGTGACCCCATCTAACTGCATAAGACAGTGGTGTGCGCTGATCTTTGTCAGAGGCATCAGGATCTGCATTTTTCTCCAGAAGAAGTCTGACAATGTCAATGTGACCCCATCTAGCTGCATAACACAATGATGTGCGTTGATCTTTGTCAGAAGCATCAGGATCTGCATTTTTCTCCAGAAGAAGCCTGATAATGGCAATGTGATCCCCTT